TTCGACTCGATTAGCTAGAGGGGACCGAAAATTTCGCTCATCCCCAGTGTTGCCACTGTTAGTACTAAACATATAACATAAATCACATTCTAGAAACCTAAACTAATACAAGATCTTGTGAGAGGTTATATAGAGCTCATGCGGATATAGAAGAGCAAATCTAGTATAAAAAAAAAGGTCGAACGATGAAAAAAAAGTGAAAAACTTCACGAAATTAAGCAAATTCACCCTAAACCCTTTCTGTCCTATCAGAGAATTGAGCAAACGCAGACGCATGAGAAGAGGCAACTGGTCACTTGAGGTAGTATGGCACTAACAATGAATGAAAAATGAGAGCGAAATCAATATTCAGGGTGAAAAGGGACTACAGATCGTTGGACAGCAAGGGAATGCCAAAGAGAGGCCTCAATGGTCGAAGGCTCTGACTAGAAGGCAATCATTAACATCCATGCAAAGGAGGATATCCATTTGAACAGTTGGAGCGAGATGGGGAGACGTCCAGAACAAACAGAAGCAGTAGATAGGAGCTCCGCGAACTCTTAAAACGTCGATGTCATTACATGCCGTCGATGTCATTATAAGTGCTTTTGAATCTCCTCGTATATCGCCATCACCAATGCTCCTCCACTCGTCCTGAAAAAAAATGCTTCTCAATAACATATTCACACTTCAACTAGTCAGGACCACATGTTCTACGCTTCCGTGGTCTCTTTCCGGTAGATCCTGATCACCATCTGCGTGGTTCGCGTTCAAGAGAAAGATGGAAAAAGCTACCATGGGTAGCATTTTAATTACGAAGCGCAGTTCAATTACGACGGATGCCCATTACCTACCGAGACAAGCTCAATTTTCGTAGGAAATTCCCCTCACTGCTATGTATCAAAGTGAATTGATATGGTTTATGAGAATCATTCAACTCATAAGTACATACTTCCCAATCACTCGAATACAACCTTTTGAAGCATACCTGAAGATATTAGCAAGCGCTCCTTTGAACAGTCCATGCACTCCCTCTTCAACGACAATACGCTTAGCCGCACTGAACGCTCTTTTAGTACTGAGAGTTCCTTTAATCATCATTCTTCTTCGCACTGTATCCCAAGGGTATGTCAAATATGCTGAGAATATGGACACTCCCTGGAACAGCCACATGAAGAAAAGTTTAAAGAACTGATGTGAACTTCATCGAGTCCAGCTTACTTGAGCGATAAGGAAAGATGAAAAGAAGGGCAAATTCTTTTTATCCTTCTCAACCGTGATTCGTATGGTATCATACAGCCCAAAATAACAGGCACGGTACAGAAAGTATGTCTGAAATATCGATCAATCAAACATTGTAAGTACAGTTGGCGGAAGATAGGGAGGAAGGGATAGAGGGATAGGGAGAGAGGGATAGAGCGATTGGTAGAGAGGGATCGAGGACTAGAGATAGAGGGGAATAAAAGAAAGAGAGAGAAAGAAGAATAGTATTATTGGCAAAAGGATAACGGAACAAGTACGAAGAACTATGCTTTTGAATTGCCTACAACTTCGTAGCGAACAGTAGATTCGAAGCCTTCCTTAGATCAGAATGACATGTTTGGAAAATACCCTCAAATCCGGAAATGATTCCCAATGCAACACTCGCAGCTTAACGCTAATACAAAACCACTTCATATAATGAAATTCTTCGAGCATGCACAGCAATTTTTGAATTCCATCCTCTTCCACTTTGAGTGCATTTTTCCTTTTATTCTAATGAAAACTAAGGCAAAAAATCAGCAGTGTAGTGATGACTTAGTTTATAATATCAGGAGCGACCAAACAAAAAAGTTCAAGAGGGACAACAAGGCTCGATTGAGCTCCCCTTTTTTTAGACTCGAGTTTTGCCTGCTACACTTCAAGGTCGAATGAGTCCTACT